TCAGTAGCAGATATATACCACTGCAAAGATTTAGGTCAGTTTTCAGAAGGCATTGGTAGGTTTTGAGATGGATTCTAAACTTTGCTCCTTGCCTTTGCCCATTCCCAGTGAGATAATCTGATCTGCTTTGACCACTTGTACCCCAGATAAAAAACAAAGAACTGTATAGGAGGTCAAGAGATATGCAGATGAACAAGATGCAACAGTAAGAGAAGAGAAAGGAGTTGCTGCAGAGACATTACTGTCCCTTCAACAGAACCAAACTGGGATTGTAATTCTAGACATGGAATAACATGAGGTCAAAAATAATACCTGCTTTTATGGGAATAAAAAGATGCATTAAGAAACTTGTTAATTATGAAAGGAAGAGAGCTACACAGGGCAGAGGAAAATACAGTTCTCTTTAATAATCAATTAATAGGCTCTTTGCATAAATATATAAATACAGATCCATCTTCTGATCAGGGACAAGCACTGTGACATCATTCCACAAATCAATCAGTCTTAGATATCTGGCATAAATTACAAAAACTTCAGATGTTCCTGAGACATATATGACCTGGTTTTTATGTATTAAACAATCTAGATCTAGATGAGACTGAAAAGAAGAAAGGCAAAGAAAAATGGCAGGCAAGAATTATGTCTGTCACAAATGGTAGTGCTTTACATATACCCAAGTCATCCAAGGGAAAATCTAAGACCAATAAAAGAAAAAGTTTCTTCTTTAAATGCAAGCAGACTGAACACTGGACATGGGGCCATATTAAGCCACCACTTGGACCCGGTTCTGTGTGTCAAGTAGCCAGTGTGCCTTACTCATGGCCCTAGAGCATTGACTTCCACTTTATTAATGAGGCTATAATCTCAATCCATACCCTGGTTGAAGATCCCTATATAATTATCTGTCTTTAATTCGAGGAGACAGAAATTGTTTCCCAGTCTTATGGCTCAAAGATATTTTCTTTTTATTCCCCTGCATCCAGAAGTCCAGTAGCTATCTGCCTTTGAATGGGAAAATTCTACTTCCAAAGAAAATAGCCTCATACGGTTCTCCACAGGGCTTTAGAGGTAGCCCCCTTCTTTTTGCTTGGGCACTGGGAAAGAACTTAAATAATCTAGAGCTTAGATAGAGAAATGAACTATAGCATGTGGGTGAAATTCTAAATAGTCACAAGTATTTCCTCTAGAACTGTTACAGCATTCATATGCCTTCTGAGCTAGTCTTTTTCATGGAAATACTTTAGTTCTACATCTGTTTTTAAGGAGAACTTTGCGGAAAAGTTTGAAAATTATTTGTTCTTATGGCTTGAAATACTTCATTCCAAGCTCTTGTGGCCTTTAGAATTTTTGATTGTGCATATGTGATTCCCATGTAGTGTCTTTGACAGAATGTTGGTGCTCAAACCCCAGTAACTTCTCTGATCCTTCTACTGTAACACTGAAGCTAACTGAGACTCAGGACTTCTTTCCATAAGGTTGCAGCTATTCTCGGAGAGTCTGATCCAGTCTGAGTTGTTGGATTAGTAACTCTTGCTGTCCTTCTCCCTGGGTATGATGGTAGATTCAACATCCAGATTCACTATTAGACAATTGTCCACTGAGTCAGTGTTATTCCTATGAACTTAAATCAGCTAAAGTGTAGGCATCATGATACCTGAGTCCTAACCCACAGTTAAAATGTGCTAAATGTAATGGATATGTTCCCTTGAATGGGGAAAAACTGCACTCAAGAGTTATCTAATTGAGTAAGTTATGTAATGCCCAGGGTTTGGAAACCAGGCAATGCCAGAGGGGAGTGAGAGGAGAAAAAAAAAAGTTTTTCCCCCTGTAAGTCTTCTGCCATCCAGTAATGGGAAGGAGGAAATAAGAGAGGGCAAAGGATCCTAAAGATGGTCTGATATATATTTATAAGGAAATAACAGAAAAGAGGATAGAATGGGGATGGGAAAGGTGTTTAGGATATAAATGTTGAAGAGTAAGTACAAGAGAGACAAATGAAAAAAGAGAAGGAAAGAAAGAATTGAGAATGAATAAGACAGATGAGAAAGAACTTAGGTAAGGTGATATGGATAAAAGTAGGAGAGATATAAAGGGACGAGCAAGAATTCCTTTCCTCTCTATAAACTATTGGGGAGAAATATTGCAACAGGAAGAGAAACACAGATACATAAACATGCTCATAGATAATGAAAGGGTAAAATAATAGAATGAAAGTCAATGAGAAAATGTAAAGGAGTAAAACAGCAAAGAATAAAACATTACAACTTAAAAATTTAAAAATAATGCAATCAAATAAATAATAATGAAGTTTTCAATTGTTTTAGATACATCTATCTTTTTCTCAGCTAGAGTTAAGGAGCAGAGTTCAGGCCAGCATGTATCTCTGTTCATGCTGCAAGTCAAAGGTGGCAACCTGCCCTCAGAATGGTGCTGGGTGTTGGGGTCTGCTTACAGTGAGAATACTGTGCCAGTGAGAGCTTTCAATTCTCTGCAACTCAAGTTAAACCTGGCCTCTGAATACAGGAGCTGAATCTCTGATCCTCATCCCTTACCTCTCAGCAGGTCTCCTTGCAGCCTGTTTGCTGACTGCTGTCTCCCATGACTGTCCTTTCCTCATTCACTATGGGGACTTGGATGTATGCAGTGTGGTTTGAGGACAAAGAGCTGTTCTGGGACTCAGGTTCAAACACTAGACCATTTGCTACAATGATGTCCCCACCATGTCTTCCTCCATGTTTGTGCTTACAAATACTGTACTGAGGTCACCCACCAAATATTGACTGTGGAAAGCTCCTCTGGAAGCAGCATTCTGCATTTTCCTTGTTGGTTCCAATTGCCTCTGATTCTTTTGGTCCCAGTGCAATTCTCTAGTTTCCCATGAACAAAACAGTTTGTTTCACTTTCCTTTCCAGCTGGCAGCTAGCCACCCACTGTTAGCAGCACTGAGCAGTGTCTCCTCTGCACTATGATCTATTTCTTCTGTATCACTTAATCCTATTTTCTTTCCCTCTGTCAGTTTCCTTGTGTTTCCAAGGTAGCCTCTACTCACTTGAATTTCTCTCAAAGATAGTGTTTTCTAAACTAGCCACTTTGTCCTTGAGAACCGGAGCTCCTTGAATTCACTATTTGACCATTTTAGGGCCTTGCTATTTTAAATGTTTCAGTGGGGGCAAAATCAGGCCGAATTTTGATAGGAAGACCAAGAACTGGTGACAAGGTGAGGGATATGACAACAAAGACACCAGCCATTAACCTCATAGCCACTTTGAGCTTTTCTCAGTGGCCTGCTCTGTCAAATGTACTTCTTACTCCATCTTTAATAAATGTAAAACTTTGATACTTTTTTTTAGGTGTCTTGTTCAATTATTTGTTTAAGACACTCAGAACTTGAAAATTAAACTCAAGAATTCAGTAATATCTTTACAGCATTCTATAGTTAAGCTAAATCTATAGGAGTATAAAAACACTAAAATAAAACCGAATTTATCACAATTCTAACGGAGTCCATAATATTAGAGTTATTATATATTCCAGGAATAGTTCTGGGAAAAAAGGGACATTGTTATACTAAAGCAGAGACTTGAAAGAAAGTAATTTTTTAAAAAAGAAGATAATTTTCGATAGTCAAAAATATTTAATCTTAGTTTTTTGAGGACTCTTCATACTGATTTCCACAATTGTTGTACCAGTCTACACTTCCACCAATAGTGAAGAAGGGTTTCTTTTTGCCTACAGCCCCTCCAGTATTTATTATCAGTTGATTTCTTGATAATAGCCTTTCTTTCCAGGGCAAGGTAGAATCTATGTATTATTTTAATTTGCATCTTTCAAATGACCAGTGATGTGGAACAATTTTTCATATATTAATTTTCTGTTTGTATTTCCTCATCTGAGTTGTGTGTATTCATCTCAGATACCCATTTTTGAACTGGATCTTTAAATTTGGGAGGTCTGAGTTTATTGAGTTCTTTATATGTTCTTTATAGTAATCCTTTGTCTGAGAAATATTTGGCAAACTTTTTTTCCCCACATTGTGGGGTGTATATTCACTCTGTTGTTCATTTATGTTGCTGTGAAAAAGCTTTTTAAGAAGATGAGATCCAAGTTGCTGATTCTGAGTATCTCCCAGAAGAATTGAAAATATTATACCACAATGATGTATGTGCACCCACATTTATGGCAGCACAATTTGTAAATAGCTAGACCTTGGAAACAACTCAAATGTCAGTCAACCAAAGGATGGATAAAAAAGATGTAATAGTTTTATACAATGGAGTATTACTCAGCCATAAAGAAGGATACACTCACAGCTTTTACAAGTAAATGGATGAAACTAGAGACCAAATTCATAAGTGAAATAAATAAGGCTCACATCTATAAACATCATATTGTCTTCCTAGTGTAAGAAGCTGAAAGTATAAATAAGATTCAGAATGTACAATAGATATTATAAAATGGGAAGAAGTTTCAAAAGGAAATTAGAATGTGAGGATGGAGAAAAGAAGGGAAAAGCAATATATATATATATATATATATATATATATATCTCATAGTTAAGACAGCTATACTATTAATGTCTCTTAGTTCATTGAAAAGAAAGATTCGTGTAATATTGTTTGGAAGATTAAATGCCACTCTTACACTCTGAGTAACTAATTTAAAGACAACAATACATAATGTATTAACCATTGTTACTCTCTTATTATCATGTTTTGAATTTCTGATTTTCTCTTTAAAATAAAAAAATTGTCACATTTTTGCATTTAACCCCTTGCAGTTAATAGTATCAGTGTATCACTACTCATATTAAAATGTGGTTTATAGTTTCATAATTGTAGCAACAAAATAAAAAGGCATCAGGAGACCAACATTAAATATTTAAAGATTTTTTTCAGATAAAAAACTACTCATAAATGGCACATTATTCTCTTCATGCATGCTTCTACTACTATCTTTTCTGCAACAGTGCTAGATATTCCACTCAACACATTGCTGATTACCTGTTGTATGTGAAGATTTAATTCCTTCAGACGTAGTCAATTTTGGGTGAGTTTCTGGAATCTGAGGCAAGTAGATTTTAGGGGGGATAACAAAATGTTCTGGAAGGCTCAGTTCTGTTCTAAATAAAATGAACTTAGGCTTCTTCAACTTTGACATATGAAAGAGCATAAGGGCCTGAAAATAAATGGTAAGGTTAAAGTGCAATTTTCATCATTTTTATTTTCAAAGTATAAAAGACAGCATTATCTCCTAGACACCATGTTTGGGGAAAATACTCAAAGGATTGAATTTATTTTTGAGAGACATTATTACATAATTGGTAAAAGGCAGCACTAACACATTTCAGGGGACTGTTGTACACACTATTGAGAAACAGGTTAATGTTTGTTTTTCTCATATTTTTAGTGTTACGGAATCATTTTCCTGGAGATCAAAGTATTCCAGTAACGAATAACACTGAACAATTGCTTCCCTCCCTGAGTTGAAACCTGTGCTTTGTCACATTTACCCAAAGAATAGAGTTATTAGCAGTAGACACAGTCTTTCTTTCACTAATGCTAATTTGGTGAATATAAAAACTTTTAAGGTTTACTTTTCTGCAGATTCCAAAAACCACTTCATATCTAGGTTCGATATTTTTAGTTTCTTCAACCATTAGTCATAAAATGTGGGTTACAAAACAACTCCCATGCATATGCTCTTTTATACACAATATTGTCCTTTTAAAAACAGGACAGGGAAGATAAACTCAGCTGTTACAGTATAAATGAAGTAGGTAACAAGTGACATTTTTAATTTGTGAAAAAAATGACAATACATAGCATGCAGGAGATGTCAGTGGATGGGCAAAAACACATAGGGAAAGCTTTTTGATTTCCAAGAATTCACAGTCTGACAGGAAAAAGAAATAAACACAAAATAAATCTAATACAATGCATAATTTACTATATGGAATAAAAATACAAAAAATGTGCTGAGTTCTAGGGATAAACTTGTAGGAAAAGATAAAGATAAAAAAAAAATATATATATGTGTGTATATAGGAAAAGGATGTCATAAAAATTGGCTCCCTTTATCATTTTTAAGTAATTATTTTCAGAAGAGTTGATAATTGAGGAAATAAATTTAAAAGGTTAAAGATAGTACTATGATAGGCTACATGTTTCAAAAGGCAACTCATAGAAAAATTTTACTGTAAAAATGTACCAACTGCTGAACATAATATGCATTCTCAAATTCACTATTATGTAAAAGCAAACATTTGAGTTAAAGCTGAAGAGTTATCAGGTTCTTTAAAGCATAGTAACAATAGTTTAAGTCAAAAGGTTGTCAAAGCTTTAGACTTTAATACTTTGAATTCAATCATAGTTTTATAAACTCCAAGTGATCTTTAAAATATTGTCATTAACTATTAAAAATATATGGTCATACTGTGTTGAGTCTGACACTGTAACAATAAGTCATTCACACAATATAAAATATTATATATATATATACATATACATATATGAAGTCAATATTTCAAAAAGGATGTAAAAATGCATAAAAAATATATAACTTTTCCAGAGTATTCCAATGTGCAGTCAGGACTGATTACTGTGAATTCTGACTATATTATAATGTATAAAATTATGCAGTAGGATGTATTATCTCACATTTATTATTAAGTGGTGCTAAAAAACACTACTAAAACGCCTTCCTGGGGGAAAAGAATATTCACCATTGTTTCAGTAAAATATATTGTTATGATCAAGTGGTAAGAGCTCCGTATAGTTTTAAGAGTTATTAATTGAAATATATTATCGGTTTTCCGTTCCTACCTCAATCTTGGTTAACCCTAGGAGGGCAACAGCCACACGGATGCTACTGCTTTCAAGAGTGCCTGTGATCAGCCTTCGTTCATACTCAATAGTGGACATTTCCCGTTGTGCTGCAAAAGCCAAAGCCTTTTCCTTCGCTTCATTAGTCAGTGGCAACTTAAGGCTCACTTCTAAGGTTTGACAGAGTTTGCATTTCAAATACAAAATTGGATGATCCTTATTATGTTCTAGGGAAAGGAAAAGTATTTTTTAATACGTTGAACATCTATGCCCTCCATCTAGGATGAAGTTTGGAGGTTTGAAATAGAGAACTGTAGGTCCTTTACTAAACAGAGCAAAAAGAAATTAATATTTCACCATGTTTTTAAAATTTAAACATTTAATCTCTCTCTCTCTCTCTCTCTCTCTCTCTCTCTCTCTCTGTGTGTGTGTGTGTGTGTGAGTGTTTGGAATTGAACGTAGGACCTCTTGCATTGCTAGGCAAGCACTCTGTCACTGAGCATCCCATATTCCAAAACCACCTCCCTTTATCATTTTTTCTTTGACTGAATTTCCCTTTTTTGCCAGTGCTAGACTTAAATTTGTGATCTCCCAGAATGCTTGGATCATGGGCTCATACATGTGTCCATTTGCTAAATGATATTTTGTATGCCAAATTTGAATATTTATCCAAGACTGAAAAATCTTTAAAAGAGAATGATCACTTATGTTTTCAACTGATCAAATTATAGTATGTTTCATGGATACTGACAAAACATTTAAAAGTGGTCTTCCAAAATCTAATTACATACTATAGAAAATTGCTATTAAGATTATATAGGACTGATTATTAAACAAATAGTCCCATCTTTTTACTACTATGAGATCTGAAATACCATAAAATCTAAATGTACTCTACCTTCTTCTAATGAACTGTTGAAATCAATTGGACTTGAAGGCTCTGTTGAAAGGAAACTGGAGGGCAAAGGAACCAAACCATTTCCTTGAAGAATATATATTAATTCTCCAACCTAAAACAAAAATTTGAGACTGTTTAAAAATATGATAAATCATTATGCTACAAGGACAGTCTGTACAATAGAATTGTCATGTACTTTTTAAACAACATAGATTCTTAAGAGTTGGACAATGGTAAGGTTCAAATATATTCATAACATGTGGGAAAAGCTGCAAGAGGCAGACAAGGAGATAAATTAAGACCGTCCCAGATCATCTATACAGCTACAACTATCTGTGGGAAAGCACAACCTTTAAATCATCAAACAAGAAATAATGAAGTATGTTTCCTTCATTCTGTAACTTATTTTGTAGGGAGTGATAGCATTTTTGCAGGATGTCTGTGTTCCATGTATTTTAAAGTATGGCCTTTCAAAGTGAACATGTGAGGGCTTTAATATATTTTAAAACAAATAATTTGGCAAGAAGTACAAAGGGCTAAATAGAAAGGGTAAAAATAAAAGTGGAAAAATATAAGGGCATTAACATGGCATAGTGAAAACTCGACAGGCATAGGCATGTCAGTGTTTAATTGGCACTGTCACTTACTAGCTGTTAAAACTCAAGCAAGCCAGACATGGTGGTGCACACCTATAATCCTAGCAGTTTGGGTGCTGAGGCAGGAGGGTCATCATAAATTCTAGGCCAGCCTGAGATACACAGTGATATTCTGTCTGAAAAATCCCAATACAAACAAACAACAAACACCGCAGGCCAGTTAAAATCTCTTGATGTCTCCGATTCCTCCTTGGTAAAATGAGATGACTAATACATTTATTTTAGATAAGTACAGTTTAAAAGAAGGATTTAGAAAGAGGGCATTTTGAAAGACATATAGTCTAAATGGATGAATCTTAGGTTCTGATTCAAACAAAGAAATTTGAAAGTGGAGAAGAATAATAAACAGTCATGAGATCATTAGGAAATTTGAGCACTATTTTCATGCTTGATGCTAAAAAGAAAATTTTAAAGTATTTTAAATAATAGTAGCAGTATCAAGGGCCACATCAGAAAACATAATCTTTATTTAAGAGATGCAGAATTGCTTATAAATAAAATTACATGGTAATTGAGTTTTATTTCATGATAATCATTAAACTTCTTTGGCCACATACTGTTAAAACTAGGTGATGGGTACAGGAAAGGTTTATTATAACTTTTATCCCTACAGTTGTATGCATAAAAAACATGCCATCCTTAACTGTGATTTATTTACATAATAATTTTGAACTGAAAGCAATTGAAAAGCAAATGCAAGAACTCTTATTCTCTACCACTTGCCTAAAAGTAAGATATTAATTTACAAAAGTATTTTCCTTCTTTCTTTACCAGCAAGTAAATGGTTGATCAAGAAGACAATTTTAGATGCTTATGTGTCTGGAAATGACAAAAAATTAACCCACACAACAAATTTGCAATCATTCAATTTCATACAATTTACCTCCTTCACAGACACAAAGTCCCTTTCCTTTGTCTGGCCATTTCTCTGACAACTTATTATTATTTGCTGAAAATGCTGTATGAGATTTAAGCATTCCCAGGGTGTCTCCCAAGTATATATGAAATACATACATTAATACATTTTTGTTTTTTCCATGTTGATCTGTCCTTTGTTTAAAAAAGTCTGCCCTAGTTAAGAAACATGAAGAAAGAAAATTATTTTTTCTTCTCTTTTATGTACTTTACATTTTTTTCATAACAAAACATTTAAAAAAATCTTTATGTCTTCGTAAGTGGAAAGATTCAGCGAGGACTGCATGAGAGAGCAAACAGCTCTTTGGCATTTACCAGGCACTTAAGAGATCTATTTAAAAAGAGTCATGCATGCTTGGAGAGCAGGTCTTCCCAAACCTTGAAATACATATAAATGACCTAAAGACTTGGTGAAAAGGTAGATCTTACTCAAAAGACCTGTGGTGGGACCAACACTTGAGAGGATAAAGGGAAATAAAGGATGGAAAATTTAGATATAGTGGGGAATCTTAAATCATAATGGCCTTTTGACAAGCATGCAATAACCTGAAAATAAGAATGAGGGAAAACATGGTCTGGAAGGTGACATTTTAACTGTTTTGAAGTGTTCCACAATCTTAATATTATCTACATGAGTAAAGACTATTTCATATGTTTCAGTAGGCAATATCTATGCAAATAACTTAAAACTTGATGAAATGCTAGAAATATATGTTCAAAATACAATTATTTAGTCAGTCATAGCGGCACACCTTTAAAATCCCAGTACTCAGCAGTCTGAGGCCTTAGAGTTCAAGGGCCTCCTGGACAATATACTGTGATAGTATCTCAAAAAAAAAAAAAAAAAAAAACAAATTCACTCTTTCTCTTATATATTTATATGTATATCTGTATCTATATGTATTCTGACAAAAATACATACATTGTATAAACTTCTTAAACTGCAAACATACTAATAAATTGAAAAAAATTAAAAATATATCCACACTTAGGTAAAAGAAAAACAGTATGATTTTTTTTAATAGATGATGTTACTTTCCTGTAGAGGATCCTAAGTATGTCTTATATCACAGAAAACCCAATACACTTCCAGCACTTAGAGAAGAAATTGAAAATGCAAGTTCAACCATCTCAAAGACCAGGGATACCCAAGTACTAGTTTACCATACTAATTAACATTTGAATGCTAATGACATCATTTTGAGCCCCTCTTATAATTATAAAGTCCAAAGATAACATGTATTAATATCATGTAGTTTCCATATTATAAAATATTTATAGAAATTTTTCCTTTCTGAAGTTTGCTTACATTTTTTGCTGACTCATATGAATGTGTACGATGTGTGTGTGTAAGTGTATGTATACATGCCTACATTTGGTCTCAATTTTTTCTAATCAAAGTTTGTAGGCAATAGAAGACAGCAAAAACATAGATCAATTTACTAGAGAGAAAGTAGGTGCTCGGTTGGCCTGGTGAGAAAGGTCAAGGCCTGGTTGCAGGAGAAATCGGATATTACCATAGCAAGTCATTCAACCATGAAGACATTCTTAATCCAGCTCCTAAGTGAAAGATCCTGCTTGATGCCCTCACCAACTTGGTACAGATAACTTCAGCAATACCAGGTGGTTTCCTAGGATGAGAACCCTGAACTACATAGAACATATGTTCACATACTGAACACCACAGTGAAGACAGAACAATGTATATACATACTGCTGTCTGGTTTATTATGTGTGTCTGCTTTGTAAAGCATCTTTGTAAACATGACCTCCCAAAAGATGCAAATCCATAGCAGCTGAGACATGAGTTGGCTTGCAGTACCATTATTTAATCTATTCTATTCACCATTAGAGAAGACATTTCTAGAGATCTCTGATATTTTGCAGCACAGTGTTTTTAAAAGCTTTGCTAGGTTTTCAAATAATTAAGAATATTTAGGAACTCTGAAAGTTCCATAAAACTATTTCTACTTTTAAACAGTTGTCAGTTAAATCACTTTACTTGTATTTGCGAGTTCAAATGTAACAACCCTAACAACAACAAAGATATGGAAGGTAAATTGGCCTTTCCTTGACAGCACTGATTAAAAAAGATTTTTATTTTATTCATGGACAGTGAGCAAATAGCTCTAATTTATCATTTTCACATGTGGGTCATAATGACAAAGGACTTGTCACATATTAAATAAGAACACAAGCTAACTAGGGGGACTTGGATATTTAATTATCTAGTTAACCATGTAATTGCATTTTTCAATACAATTAGCAATATAATTGAATGTGTAAAATAGTAGACGTATTTCTGCATATATGTAATTATAAATAATAGCAATTCTTTACATTGCAGCATTATTTCAATGATGTCAATAAAATTCCAAGATGCATTTTTTAATGTTATGTTGAAAACAGTAGAATACAATAAAAGTTTTAATAAACTGCACTTTCAAGTGAAGTACAATTATATCTTGATTAATTTAGACTGTGTATGAAAAATATTAATATTATAATAATAACAAAATTAATTTTGTTGTTGTATTATCAATAGTTAATTCTAGTATTTTCTACTTCCAAACAGTTTCAAACAGTTGTTAGTTTACATTATAATTTAATAAAATGAGATTTCGAAGGATTTGATCAAACTATTGGTCACACTACACTTAATATTTTTCATGAATTTTAAATAGAGAATAATATAGGTAAATCCTGATTTTTTTTTGTGCAGTGTTGGAAATGAAACTCAGGGCTTTGTCCATATAAGGTAAGCCCTGTACAATTGACTTAGATCCTCAGAAATTGAACTTCTTTAAAAGAAATAACAAGATTCTGCATTGTTATAAAAAGACTTTTTCCTTCTAATTGGTAATTTTATTTGTAAAATTCAAGTATGCTTTATATTATTTAGTAATCTATATTATTTTTAATGTGTAAATGAGTCAATAGTAACCAAGAAAGTATAGCATCTTTTTGTAATTGCCATTATTGCGCTGCATATGTACTAAATGGAGTGGACATACAATTGATGCATTTAGACATACATCCTGCCAATTATAAATTCCTTCCTCAGGGAAGCATGTGGCAATATCTCTTTGGAAGATGGCAATGGTATAAAATTTGTTGTCATCTGTGCTTATCTCTTACTCTCTCTACCTCCTATTGTCTCTTTTTTTGTTGTTAATTTTGAAGGAGTCAGTTGCAAGAATTCCAGAATCACAAATAAGTAATTCATGCCAATATTTGAGAGAGTTTGTGAGCAGATGCTTCTTCAGTTGAACCTCTGCGAAGAAACCCATCCTAGTGCATTTTTTATTGAATAATTGATAGACCCTAAGCAGATTAATTGTCTAAGTCGTGTCAGACCTCTCAGCCCTAGAAACTGTAAGATAAAGAACATGTGTTGTTTTTAAGCATCTAGTAAATTATGGTTCATTGTATAGCTAGATATAACCAATACAGTTAGAGACACAGGAAGTTTAGGTAAGCTTATACTCTGTTCCCATGGGATTTTTTCATGCAACTATCATATTTACTTTACATTAACAGAAGTATCTAAATATTTTTGCTGTTAAGATCCTTGCCTAGCAACATAGGGAACACAATTATCTGCATTTCCAGAGTCTCCAGTTGCTTTCAAGTTGTCTTTACTTGTGAATTCTTTAAAGTGAAAGCCAATGATAGTAGCAAAGATTTATGATTCTGTTCTTACCTCTTGGTTGCTCAAGATGATGGCACAGTAGCGTGTGTGGACGCCAAAGGGAAGATAGTAGATCTCTAGGCTTGCAGATTCATTCCCTTTCAGGAAAACAGCGTGCACAGAGCAGAAGAACTCTCTGATGAAACTGGCTTTGATTGCTAAAAATATTCAACATGAATCTAGTTGGTATGTAATAAAATTAATGCTATCAAAATAAAAACTGTTTAGAGAGATAGTTTTAGTTGACATTTTAGGATCTATAAAAATGTCAAAGCACTCAAACAAAGGATTACAATTTGATGCATATATATATATATATATATATATATATATATATATATATATATAATGAAACAGTGGGTAATCCCAGTTCAAACTTAATATAACCAAACCCATAATTATGACATTCTATTACAGATGCTTAATATCATGTGGATATGGTGACACAGACATGCAATCTCTTTGCGGTATTGAGGCAGGAGGACTGCAAGAACAAGCTAGTGTCTAGGAAATGCGACTTTTGAGACCTTGTCTCAAAAAAGAATAAAAACAGCATTGGTGATATGGCTCAAAATGAGGGATGTAGCTCAATGTGAAAGCCCTGGGCTCAATACTCAGTAAAATGAAAACAAAAAAGTTTTTTTTTAAATAAAGAATTTCACTGCAATAAGAACTTCACCACTATTTAAAATTAGCTTTATATACTGTATATAGTAAAAGAATCGTTCAATGGTGTCCAGTTTTTCTGGGCATTTTAATAATTCACATTAAAAGAAATGGATAATTTGAACCAGAAATGAAGGACTGCTTGATATATTTAAATATATACATCTCTTTTAGAAGTTTTAATGTGTTCACAAATTCTTTATATTGCCTTCAGTGTGGTGATATTGTAGGTCATCCTAAATGACCTCATCCTAACAAAAAGTATGCTAGAATGCCTCAGAAGTGAAGCAAAATCATTTCTGATACAAGACCAGAAAATATAACACACGTTCTGCCTCATTCTCTTCCATAGATCACTATGTTGAAATTCCAGCTTTTATTCTGTGAATACATCTTGGCAATATGGAGTAACTGTCTATATGTGCCCAGGTCAGCAGCCCCATTTGAAATCCCAGGCAGAAGACATCTGTAGCCACCACATATGTGAGGGAGAAAGTTTTAAAATGACTCAAGCCCCAGGCTCCATCTGAGAATACAATCAGGGATATTGAGATGAGAGTCACCTAACTAAGAATTTACCTATATAAGCAAGTCTAGTCATACCTAAAATATGAGATAATAGCCATAATTGATTTTTGTGGTTTTATTTCACTACACTCAGGGTTGTCTTGTGTTTATTGCTAACCAAAAATCTCCTATATTCATTGCCCTACTCGTCATTTAAGCTATCCATCAGTTCTAGATCTACTGTTATTTCCCAAAGCAAAGCAAATCTGTGATCTTAATACATTTCTTTTTTTTTATCTTTTTTTGTCTTTTTCTTTTTATTGGTACCAGGGATCGAACGCACGACCGCACACTTGCAAGGCAGGCGCTTATGCCGCTGAGCTAAATCCCCAGCCCCTTACATTTCTAATCTTAGTAAAATATTACATAAATAGGTTTAAATGGTTTAGCATAAGGCTATATATCCAGATCCATCCCTCATGTGCTGGGGGAAACTGAGACCAAACCATGGAAGGAAATTTGTAGACTGAGTCCTCCAAAGGGCCACAACAGAAAAAGCAAAGGGACAATGCTAGCCAGCCAACTGGTCAGCAGTCCCCAGGGCTTAGTATTCCATCTAACATCATAATCACCCATGCTGAATATTACATAATTTAATGCCTTGCAAATAAAAATCAGATATGAAAAATAAACTCTTTTATATGAGGTACTCACAGGTTGTTATGCTATTTCGAATATGGTGACAGCCTTGGGAAGCATCACATGCACTGCTACTTGCATCATTGCTATCACAAGAAAACAAGAAAATAACACCAGATATATAAAATTCTAAAACAATTATCTAAATTAAACTTTATGTTTCTTAAAAATGACGACTTCCTACAATATGGTATGCAAATAGCATTCAATGTTTATGTTGTTTTAATGATTAAAAAATACAAAAACAAAAATATTAGTTATCCATATTTCCACCACTCTTTAAAATTCAGGTTAAAATAATTCATTTTACATTAAAATATTAAAAAAGAGTACATATTTGATAAAATTAATCCTCATCTAGGGACCTAAAATAAAAATGATCTCAGTATAGCAATAAATAAAAACTGTCTTCAAAGGTGGTTCTAGAACTTGGTTTGTTAAAAGAAGTTATTTTCTCTAAATTTCTTATTTTCACATTTTCTTTTGTCTTATAAAGGTACAAGGAGCTTTAGGCAGTGGTTAAATCTCTGATTTCTTTCCCAAGCTGCGGCCTGCCTTAACAGCCTCCAGGTCTTCCACTACCCATTGATTAACACCATTTAATGATCTTCTTTTTAATATTTTGCTCAAAAAGCAATCCATTAATAACAGTCTTCATAATTATTTTATATTTTTCTGAGAATATTAAAATTTTGCATTATTCACTTGGCCATTTATATATACCTGAAATTGATGTTGCAAAAATACATTCAGTTTCCAAGTAATGTTATCCTAAGAATCTCTATTCTCTGATTTTTTATGAATTTTTCTTTTTACATGACATTCTTAATGTGGTATTTGGCACTTTACTTATTCTCTGCTTTATTATTCACAGTCATTCAGGTTAACAGTTTAAGTGCTGTGGTACCTTTTTAAAGTAAATAGTATTTAAAATTTGTATAATTTTGAGCTTTTGATAGACAATTTAAGCTGGCCATTGACACAATAAAGGGATATATATATATATATATATATATATATATATATATAATTTATAATGGAGATCCTACACAGAGTGACCCAAATAACAATGTGTGTATATTATTTCTCAATTTATATCATCATTGCCATCTTTTTGATGATGGAGTTCTGAAAAGAAAGCCTATTTGGTCAGAGAAAAATAATGAAAGGATCTTTTAAAGATATTGAAACTGTCTCATTCCCAGGACCTGGCGTTTACCAGGCAGGTTCTGTGCCACTGAGCTATAACTCCTGTCCCAGAATAAAAACTTCTTAACTGCACTTGTTTGTTTCTGGATCATATTCTCATACTGAAATGTGCGACATATGTAGCATTTTATAATACATGTGATTTCAAAGGAAGGGATTATGTGTGTGTGTGTGTGTGTGTGTGTGTGTATGTGTGTACTTCTATCATCACTACACACACTCACATATACATATATCAGTTGCTTATAGAGAGGTGTTTTTTATTATAACAGGGAAGATAATAACTTTTATGCAATTGAAAGGCAACTGTAGCCCTAGACAAATCATTTATGAAGAAAACATTACTATTTGTGGACATACTAGCTAGATTTTGAGGAGGAGGGTCAGTTAATATAGAGTAGGTCATGTTGAGGTCTGAAACAACCTCATCTTCAGTGGATATGCATGAGTTTATTTCTTGCTCACACTACGTGTCCATTTTAGATGGGGGAGTACTCAGAAATCCTTTGTGAATAATTCCTGCTTATATATGTATGTCTATTATAACTGTAGTAGGAAAAGATAACATGAAAATTTCTCACAGATTCTTGAAAATAACGTGCAATACTTCTCACGCCATTGCCAAATAAGTCACACAGTCTCATAATTGTCAACACTGGTGGAAAAGTACAGTGACAGAATCTAACTGAAAAGATGACAGGAGAACATTTGTAAAACATCTCTTAAATTTAGTTTATGGAAATTTGTATAACTGATGCTTGTTCTCTTCTATGTTTCACTTGATTAAACTTAGAGACCAGAGTAGGGTTTTATGGTCATTATACTTTTTTTAACAATTATTGAGTACTACGCTAGACTTCCACTCTTTTGGGGATTAAAATGTGTTTTCTTAAGTTTTATTTATGCATAGAAAACTATTGAATAAAAACATTAAGGAGACCTGTAAGAAAATGTGATTTATATCATTAAGAATTATTTTATGATGACACATTTAAATATGAAAAAGTTTCATTACGCTAATAAATCCAGGTCTTGCTCTGATAATAAATCCAGATAAATTATATATTAAATTAATTGGTACTATACGTACATAAAGCTCTCTCTCTTCTCATGGTACAGCCCAAGTTGCCTGCCTCAATAACCATTTGGACATCCTTCCTTACTACAAAAATCTTAAATTTCTTTAGATGCTTTATAGAGAAAGAGGAGTTTTTGTCTTTCAGCTAGATCTTGTTATTTAATTAAGATTTGAATACATGGAGGCGTGCTATGTTGTATTTCAAGGAAACTTCCCTATATAAATGGGGCACAGTCTTCTCCTTGTGTTTCTTCATTTTGAATGCCCAGAAAGTCAATTTAATGTTCAGAATTCTGCATAATTTACTTGACCCATGAGGAAATGAACAAAGCTTTGCCTACTAGGGAGCCTGGAAGTGTCATACAGCATATAGTCAGGGCCGCAGATGAAGAAGTCACACCCAAATACTTCTAATAAATCTCCTTAAAGCATGGCAGTTAGCTGCTTAAAATAAATCTTAGCAAATCTCTTAGAAAAATAGCATTTTAGGTTTATTTAAGACTGCTTTTATCTCAACTTAACATACGGATTTAAGGCTGAGCAATCGGCCAATGCCAGGTCCCAAATCAAATCAAGAAGGTATATAAACTGACTGGTCCTTTTCATTTAGAAACTGTGCTTTTACATAGACTGCCCCTGCTTTTGAATTAGGAAATAGCCTTAGAGGGAGAAAATCCCCAATCTTACAAAGTAAAGGCTCTGAGTTATTCTTTGACTTAATCTGCAGGAGGCTGACTACCAGCTTTGCATTGGCTTATGTTTTCCCTGACTCCACATTCGATGTCTCCACCTCTTTATAGCTTTTCTTTGTCCTTGCTGGGGTTTTTTTTTTTTTGTTTTGTTTTTTAATCCAACAGAAAAGCTTGAGAGAAGAATTAAGTAAGTACCTATGGCATTATAAATTAAAAGGAGGAGACCCTGTGACTATGGCAGTTATGCTTATTAAGCTGTATTTTATGTTGTGTTGGTAATTACTTTAGATGAGTGCTATCAAAGATTCCATTCTTAGAAAATTAAATTCTAATTTTGCATATACATATGATAGATATTTTAGTCTTCCTTCTAGCAGCTGGATTTAATTACCTAGCTAAAATTTCTTTTTGTAGTTTTTCAGTGTATTTTCTATTTAATTTGGGAAGCTAACCATAAAAAGGATGCCTTATTGTTTCTTTAAATTCCATGGCTGCAATAATTCTAAATCTTTAAATTCAGTCTAATTCCTTACAGAATATTATATAATGGGAAATTTGCTAAAATTTGAAATACATAATTCTCATAAGGTATTTCAAATGGTAAAAGTAGATTGAATTTTGCTATTACATTAATTTGATTTGATTGATTTATGATCATAGATACCTATATTGGTTTGAGATCTGACTCTAATTTAGTATACATTTTTCACAATTAATATAAAAGTATTTCAAGGACATTTATGTAAAGTCTATGAACACAAAGCAACAATTTAATAAGGAAGCAAATATCTGCAATAAAAAATAATGTAAAATACCTATAATTCTATTATTATTATGGTATCCACAGTGCTGCTTTAGTGCTCAACACAATCATTTTATCTTTTGTTACTCACTAAAGTTTTAAAAAATGCAAAAATTTTGAATGTCTCAATCATCAAATCAGTTTTCAATTTTAAAAAGCTGTAAAAAAGTTCTTGCAGAAAAAATATTGAAGAAACCAAACGTATATCTCAATGATTATAATGTTACAGAGATATTGACTTATACGTATAAGTTGCTCCAGAGTAAAATGGACTTATTATCTTTAAATGTATTCCTTAAACTAATATTATACACACTTAAATGATATTAAATGTTGAAATAAAAATATTTATGTGATCATACTTATGATAATATATTTATTTACTTATTTTTGTTTTTTTTTATTTTTATTTTAAACAGAAAAAGAAAAAATAATAAAACAGTCTCCTATTGAAGACTAGTAGGAGATTAATAATAATCAATATATTATGTATTGTTATATTCACAGTTGTTCAGAGTACAAGATGTAGGCATGAAAATTTGTCTAGAAAATTACTAGCACAAAACTTCTCCCTCAATGAACCAAGAAAACCAGCTTTCAACTATCTTAAATGCCTTGTTTATATATGTATATATATTTTCTTTTCTTTCTTTTTCCCTTTCTCTCATAATGGTTTTCCTTATTTTTGAACAGTTTCTTCACTACTCAGAATATCTATTTTGTATTTTGGATCTTGTTTAATTTTTTGGACTCTCACATTAGTGAGAAAATATGACATTTACACAAGTGGGCCTCACTGAACTTATGAGTTTTACCTGAGTTGTATCCATTTACCAATAAAAGACTCAAGTTTGTCCATCTTTATAGTTGAGTCATACTACACTGTATAAAATACTACATCTTTCTTATCCATTCCTCAGTTGATGGGTATTTGGATTGTTTCCAAGATTTAGCTATTACAAATTGTGCTGCTATAAACATGAGCACACATATGTCACTGCTATGTTTTTAATTCTGCTGGGAAAATGCCTAGAAGAAGAATAGCTGGGGAGAATGGAACCTTTAACCTTAGTTTTTAAAGGAATCTCCACACTCATTTCCACAGTGGTTGTATCAATTCACACTACCGCCAATACTGGAGAAGGGTTCCTTTTTCCCCACAGCCCTGCCAGAATGTTACTGGTTGTTTTCTTAATGGTAGACATATTTACTGGAATCACATGGACTCTCAGTGTTGTTTTAATTTTCACCTCTCAAATGACCAATGATATTTGACACTTTTCACATAGTTATTTGCCTTTTGTATTTATTCATCTGAGAAATGTATATTCATCTCAGATGCCCATTTTTGATTTTGTTTTTGAGTTTAGGGGTTCTGCTGTTTTGAATTCCTTATATGTTCTAGATAGAAGTCGTTTGTCTGAGGGATAACTAGCTATACTATTTTCCCATTCTGTGGATTGTCTTTTCACTTTGTTGATTTCTTTTGTTGTGAAAAACTTTTTTTTAATACAGTGAGACCCCATTTGTTGATTCTTTGTTGCATTTTCTTTGTAGTTAGGGTTTTATTCAGGGATTTTCTGCTTACATCTATGTATAAAATATTTCTACCTGTTTTCTTTACCACTATATTTAGTGCTCCTGTTTTAACATTTAGATCTTTGATTCATTTTGATCTTAATTTACTGCATAATGTTAGACATGTGTCTAGTTTACTCTTCAGCCTTCAGTTTTTTCAGCACCATTTACTAAAGAGAATATCTTTCTTATAGTGAAAATGTTTGGCTCCTTTGTTGAAGATAAAGTGATTAGTGTATGTGTAGTTGTATCTGCATCTCCTAATTAGTTCCACTGATCCTCAGATCTGTGCTTTGTTTTGTTTTGCCAAAACCAGGTTGATTTTATCGCAGCAGCTTTGTAGTATAATTTTAGGTCAGGGATTGTGATGCCCCCTGATTTGACTTGGTTGGCCCAAAGTGCCTTTGCTATTGTAGGTCTTTTTGGTCCCAAATGAATTTTAGGAATATTTTCTGTAGATCTGTGAAGTATGTTAATGGTAGTTTGATTGGGATTACATTAAATATGTACACCAGATTTGGGAGTAGGATCATCTTCACTATGTTGGTTCTTCCTATCCATGAGCAAGGAATATCTTTCCATTTTCTTCTTCTATCTGCTTTTTCAAACTACTTTATTTTTAAATTTATAGATCTTTTACTACTTTTTTTAGATTGATTCCTAAGTATTTCAATTTTTATTGGAATGCTATTTTAAAGGATGTGTTTTCCCTAATATCTTTCTCAGTGAGTTTGTCGCTTATGTATTGGAATGCTATTGATTTGTGAGTATTGACCGTTAGTTCAGCTGCACTACTTAACCTGATTATTACTTCTAGAAGTGTTTTGATGGAGCTTTTGGTTTCTTCTATATAAATATCATGTCATCTGGAAATAATGATAATTTAAATTGTTCCTTTCTATACTTACTCATTTAGCTCTTTCTCTTGTCCAATTTCACTGACTAGTGTTTCCAGAACTATATTGAATAGGAGACGTGATAGTTGATGTCGTTGTCTTATTTCTGATTTTAAAATGAAAGCTTTCAAAGTTTGACCATTTAGTATTATGTTGACTTTTGGTTTGTCATAGATGGCTTTTATCAGATTAAGTTAAAACCCTCTATTCCAATTTTCTGTCAGATTTTTACCATGCAATGTTGCTGTACTTTGTCAAATGCTTTTTCTTTACCTACTGATATGATCATGTAATTTTTGTCTTTGTTCTGTTAATATGGTGTATTATGGTTTTTTTTTTTTTTTTTTTTTTTTTTGTAAATGCTGAACCATCTCTGCATCCTTGATATGAATTCAACTTGGTCACGATGTATAATCTTCTTGATAATTTGCTGCATTCTGTTTCCAGTATTTCATTGAAGATTATTGAATCTATGTTAATTATGGAGACTGGTCTGTAGTTTGCTTTTTTGATTAGGTTGTTCTTTGGTTTTGGAATCAGGGTAATACTTGCCTCCAGAAATGATTTTGTAAGTATTGCTTCCCTTTCAATTTCTTTAGAGTTTTAGCATTAGTGGCCTTAGTTCTCCTAATTTCTTGTATAAGTGAACACTGAATCTGTCAGGGCCTAGAATTTTTTTGTTGTTAAATTTTTAATTATATTTTCAATTTCACTGGCTGATATCGGATTATTTAGAATTTTTATAATTCTGGATTTAGTTATAGAAATTGAATTGTGTCTAGGAATATGTCCATTCTTCTGTGCCACCCAACTTATTAGAATATATGTTAATGTAGTAGAAATACATTCATTTAATAAAATAGGCTTAAATTTAGTGGTTTAGGATGACATTAACACTGAAAATTTCTATATTATCCAAATTGACACATTCTTGTCTCTTGATGTTTTTGTATCTAACAGATGAAGTTGATACTATCAAATATAACAAAGATTTAAAAATAGCAATAAAGTACACTAAAAACTAGTTATAGTTAATATATATATATATGCATTTCATTAATAATGCCCTATATAATTTTTTCTCTATCTTTATCATTTTACATTATTTTTAAAATTTTATTTATTTTCCTGACATAGAATCTTACTATACAGTTCAGGCTTTCCTTAGGCCCAGGCTAGCTTTGAACTCCTGATTTTCCTGCCTCAGTGTGAACTACCTCAGATATCTTGTTCACATTGTTTTTAAATGTATATCACTTTCTTTAAGCATTAATTCCACAAATACAAAAATAATACAAATTACTAAAATTGTTCCCCTTTATTCATAAATTAAAATATCCTTCTAAAGTAAATATATACCTCATAAAGTGGGTGGGATTAGGTTAAGCTAAAAATGATCCTCATTGCCCATGAATTCTATTTCCAAAATCTCTATCATTTATTTATAATCTTAAAACCAATACTCATGATACTGTGACATTGTTCAAGGATATAGACAGAGTTATGACAAATTCTAGGTGCTAATGTGAAATTCTGTAACCAGGTGAAGTGAATTTGAATTCCTTCTTTGGAAGTAATTAGTGGGCAGGTCTCAGTGAAGACACTTAACATTTTTGACTCTCATTTTCGATTTGTAAAACACAAAAAGTAGCATCTATCATGTTTTCTGTAGGATTTTTGATTATCTATTTAAAAGTAATACTTAACTAATAAGCAATGTTTCAGTATTTACACTGGATGGCTGTATCAATTTTACAGTATATAATTACTATTACTAATGAGAATCAGTTGTCATTATTATACTGTTATTAAATGCAAATACAATCCAATGTATACGTATTTTAATAGACATTTATATATTTTTCATACACACAAAACTAGAAATTCTTAAATTTTATTTAAATAAGAATGTAAATAATGTAAATTAAAATTTATGAATGAATGGATAATGCTGCACAATAATATACAAGTTTTCTGGCACTAATTTCATAGAATTTTTCCTTAGAAATGCATACATATAAAATATACAGATACTTACTCATCATGCAAATGTTGCTTGCGTCCAGTTACTTGTGATGGCAAATGGATAAATGTTGTGGATTCCACCAAAATGACACTGAAACAAATTTTTAAAAGAATTATTTTCTTTTCTTTTTTTAAAATTTTATTTAAGGAGAAAAGAAAAAAAAAGCAGAGAAAGGGTACAAGTTATACAGATTTACAGAAAAAAAATAAACTGTAATCATATATCTAATTATACTTATCTCTCTCTTCTTTACTCCTGCAATTAACTTCTCAAACCAACTCACTCCTCTGCATCATTTTCAGGAACATAAAAAAAAATCACCAACCGATATGCCTTGATTTTATCTTATTGTTATTTTATCTTTTTTCTTCTTCCCTTTTTCTTGAATTATTTTCCTTCCTTTCCTCTTCAATTATCCTTTCTTTATCCTCTACACCCTAGTCAATTTGTCATGGGTACTAATTTGTTATTTTTCTGGGTTATTAAAAATGTGAAATTGTTTAAATAAGTTTCAAAGTATATAACTGATACACAGTTGGTTCCATAGATGCTGATATAACCTTTAGTTATTTTTCACTTGCAACATAGCAACCAGGATTCACATCATTACACAGAGTAGGCTAAATAGACACATAATCATCAAAACATAACAAAAGCTGAGGTCACATTACAAGGAAACTTACACTAACTAAAGAAATTTCCACAGTAGCAACAGAGGTTTTTCTACTCTAATCTTCACTGCACAGCACAAATTCAATTGAAAAATGAATAAACACTGTAAAAAGCTGCCTCCAAAATATTTTAATGCCCCAAACACTGATTTTACAGGCACTGAAGGCGATTTTTATGCACAGAATTAGTAAACCAAATGATAAAATGATTGAAGATACTGAAAAAGAAACCGATAAGCAAACTCGTAAGATGTTCATTGGACTTATAGATGATATAAACAAACATAATGAATTCAATTAAAGAGGTTTAACAAGATTAAGAAGAAGCAATCAAAAAGTTGATGGAATTTGATAATATAAGGTATGGATGACTTCTTATATGGAGAATTAGAGAATATGAAAAGCAATCAAGGCCATCAGCACTCTCCCACAAGCAGTGAGCTTGAGTGGGCAGAAACAGCCAACCCAGTCTCTTCAAGCACTCCAGCTGTCATTTGAACTCTTCCTTGCGAAACAAGCTAGCAAAAGCAAGGAGACCACAGCCAGCCCAGCCCCTGCTCGCACATCAGCTCCCATCAGGATTCTCCTATGGGTAGCCAGTGTAAGCCAGGAGAACCAGCCAGCCATGCCTTGTAGAAGCTGTGAGTGTCTACAGAAGCCTGCCAAACACTCCACTGCCTCCTAGTGAACACGGATTAGGAGAAACTAGGTGGCTAATGCATCCCCTTACATTGTTCACAGGTCACCAACATGGGAAGTGCCTGGAAGCTCACAATCTGCTTGTCTGTAGGAATCCAGGAAAATGTCATGACAAAGGAACAAAAAGTGATCTCTAGTCCCCAGCCAAAAAGATCAAGTCCAGGAAACATAGACATAGAAGACAGTAGGAGTTCTACACTTGAAATTTTTGTAGTGATAGCAATTGAAGTAAAGAAACTACTTTCTGAGGCTGTAGAAGAAATCAGATCAGAAATAATAACAGATAAAAGAAGAAATAACAAATGTAATAAAATAGTATTGAGTGTATCTAAAGAAGACATAGAAAAAAGACACATACAAAGAGGGAATCTTTGAATGAACAATATAGAGAAGAATTAGAATGCAGCAAACACAAAAAAATAAATATTCAGGAAATTAAAACTTCCATTGAAAGGTGGCAAAACAACTTGAAAGAAAGTGAAGATAGACTTCCAGACCTTGAAGACAGGAGGGCAGCTAATGATTGCAACAGGAAAGATCTAAAAATAACAAGGCAACAGGAAATAAATATTCAGTGGCTCCAAGATGAGACAAAGAAAAATAATTTCAGAAATATAAGTGTCAGCAAAAAAGCAAGAGTCAACACAAATGACATAAAGAGATTATTTACAGAAGTAAGAGCTGAGAACTTTCCAAGCATAGGAAAGGATCGGACATATAGATAAGTGAGGTATATAGAATTCCAACTATCCATAAGCAAAATAAATCTACACCCAGATGTATAATTATCAAGATCCCAGAATTCAGTGCAAGAACTGAATAATGATAAAGTTGTTAGACAAAAGAAACAGATCACCTATAAAAGGCAAATCCATCAGAATCATGACAGATTTCTCAACACAAACTATCAAATCAAGAAGAGCTTAGTTGAAATACCTCAACTCCTGAAAGTAAACAACTTTCAACTCACCTTGATGTATCCTGCAAAACTATCTTTCTAAATTGATGAAGAAACATGATACTTTCTTGACAAAGAACAATTGAGGAAATTCATGACAATGAAATCAACTCACACAAACAGTACTGAAGGATATTCTAGAGAGAAATAAAAATGACCATGTTCCTAGGAACAGCAACAAAGTGGGATCACTGAAAGGGCAGACAGCTGAAGTAGGGAGCCAATGGCAGGAAAAAAGCATAACAGAAATGAACCAGTGAATGTTGGCTCTTACCATGAATGCAAATGGTTTCAATTTACTAGTAAAAAGAAACACAGGCAGTGTGGATCAAGAAACAGGATCCATCAGTATGCTGTATACAAGAAACATATTAACTTGAAAGGAAATTGATAGGTTGAAATTCAAGGAGAGAAAAAGTGTTCCACACAAGAGGAAACCAGAAAAAAGCAGGGATAGCTTACCCATTAACTGCAGAATTGATAAAGAAAATATAATATTTTAATACAATGGAAAGTTATTCAACTACAAAGAAGAATATTTGTGGAACCCTTGTAGTTAAAAAGAGGCAATTTGTGATCATGCTCTTGGGTGAAATGGTTCAGAGTTCTATAGGTGAGCATTGGGATGTCTTCCAACTATAAAAACTGAAAGAGTTAGTGAGATCCAAACTGTACAATGTGTATTGTCAAAGTGAAAGTGGAGGAAACTTCTGAAAAGGGAAGGTGGTAGCCACTGTTAATTCCTTATTATTTCATTTTAAAGTCTTGCATTATTTTACTGTTTTTTATTGGTCTTATTTTGTTTGGTTTGATTTCATTATATGGGATGGCATGCATAGCTATTTTGAAGTTAATGATATATTGTGGTAGCCACTGTTGATTTCCTTTTATCTTGTTTTGCAATCATGTATCACTTTCACGTTTTTGTTTTGATTGGTTTTATTATGTTATGTTTTATTTTATTTTATTAAGTCTGATGGAGTTGACAGCTATTTTGAAGATAACAAGAGGCATTATGGCAGCTATCGTTGATTTTCTTTTATCTTGTTTTGATATCCTGTGTCATTTTCAATGTTTTGGTTTGATTGGTTTTCTTCAATTTTATTTGCTTTTATTTTAATATGCCTGATGGTATGAACAGCTATTTTGTACATAACAAGAGGCATTAAGGCAACCTTTGTTAATTACCTATTATCTTGTTCTGAAGTCACGTATCACTTTCACTGTTTTGTTTTGACTGGCTTCATCCTGTTTTATTTTGTTTGGTTTTATTCTCTTAAATTCAAGGGTAACTACAGTCAACAAAAATGACCAATCTGAAGAGAACTGTAAGAACTTGAAGATAAGGTTGATATAGTTGATCATATACTCAGTATTATCCTAAACAAAACAAAACAAAACAAAGCAAACAAACAAACATACAATGAATCATAGTAGCTGGATCCAACATGTGCTAGATGAATACAAAAGAAAAACAATTAATTATATGAGTTAGGCAAAAATAGAATAGAATATCAAAGGTATAAAATGCATTCACCAAAATTGTAGCAGAACAATGTCCAATTTTGCAAGTCTAGGGAAACAATTCATTGTGCAGGTAAATGAACCATATAACACTCTAAATAGCAATGATCAGTCAAAAAAGAAACTCAGTGGGACACATCACAGAAAAACATCCCAGAAAATCCTCACAGAGAGAATACTGCAAGTTATTAGAGAAAAATACTAAGCAATTTATGAAGGCAAGTGTATCAAAGTAACAACAGATCTTTCAACACAAACTTTAAAGGCCAGAAGAACTTGGAGTGAAGCACAGTGCTCAATGAAAAGAACTGTTAACTGAGCTCATTGTTTCCTGCAAGATTATCCCTCAACACAGATGAATAGAGATCTTTTGCAACAAAGAGAATTTAAAGAAGTGCATGAGCAACAAATCTACACTGAAGGAAATACTTAAAAAGAATCCTAAACAGATTAACTACAACATGTCAAATCACTCAAAGAAAACAGTACATCAAACTGGAAAAATCATTAAACAAATGGAAAAAAACACAAAATTTTAAGCACAGAAAAATAACTCAATGACAATATTCAGTAAATAGCTTTCCATAATAGTACTCAAAATCAGTAGTCTTAACTCCACAATCAAAAGAATGATTGGCAGATTAAATCAAGATCAAACATGAACTTAGATTACCTGAAAAAGAGGTATATCTCATCCACAAACTAACATATAGTTTGTAAGTGAAAAGATGGAGAGTTACACTTAATGTATAAAATTTAAAAGGAAGTAAGGCCAGTTATCCTATTTTTAGAAAATGAGGATTTTAACTTAAAACTGTTTAGAAGAAAGAAAAAAGGTCACTACATCCTGGTAAAATAAACAGTTTAACAAGGGAGAGATGCACATTGTTAGCATGTATACACCTAAAAGTTGCCACATTAAATTTTGTAAGAAAACATCATGGTTTAAGCTTTGGTCGAAAATTTGTTTGCAGTTTATCTATGCCCTTAAACTTTGTGTGAGAATGAGATTAAGAATGATAGACTAATATGGTAGAGAAAATTTAAAGGTAGCTCATTATTCTGGCTATGACATGGCTAGTTCTTTCCACTTTAAGCCAGTTTTACAGTGAGAATCAGGGATTATTAGTAGCATTCAAAGTAAGAAGTTTGCAGTTCCATTCAGAAAGGAAGTTCTTAGAAAATTGGGACAAAGGGTAGCATGGTTACGGCAAAGTTAACAATAAAAAGAACCCAAG